AAGAAACTGAGTCAAGAGCAACTATTTTGGAATCCAGATCTCTGATAAAGAGTTTGAGTATGGCAAAACAGATACCCACACACTCAAGTAATTCAGGAGTACTTGCTCTTCCATCAGCTTTCTCTAATTTCATAATTGCATTAAAAGTAGAATTTAGAATATTTTTAAAGCACCAAAAATATCTGTTTTTTAGCTAGTAACTAGGTACTGTTTGCTACCAAACACTAGCAAAGTGCATGCTAACCAACGTAAGTCATGTCAGAATCTGCTTTATCTTGAGCTGAAAACATTGTCCATTTCCAATAGAGCCCAGCTATCTCAGGAAAAAAAAATCCAAGTACAATATTTAGCAAAATACAGACATCAGTACTTTCCAATAACAAATGAAAATATCCTGCAAAAAGCAAGCAGCAGTTTTCATTTGAGTTCCTCAGCCTCTTGCTGTTGCAGGAAGTGCCATAGAATCCTAAGTGACAACTTGCAATTTATTTCCAATGAAAAACTGTAACAGTAAAAAATCCAGTATGCAAAATGCATAATATACAGTGATGCCCAAGTAGTAAAATTTCTTGCTGTCAATATTTTCATATCACAGAAAACAATCCCACTGTATTTTGCTCAAAGTTAGGCAACATCACTGGAACATACAGACAACATGCTGGAATGATATTGCCATTTGTAAAGTAGATTGGATTGCTAACTCTGCCAGTGTTCTAACGGAACACAACAAGCTCTTTTTTTAATTCAATAATCCAAATAAATATCTCCTTTCATGTCTCAAAACAGTAAAGCTACAGGGATTCACATGGTATTTTCCAAAGTAATACAGCACAAGACTAATGTTCTTAGCTCCATGAGAAACACTTAAATGCAAAGTACTGCTTTTTCTGATTGTGAATTTCTTTTGAAATTCATTATTGCCCTTCTGTCTGAAAAGAGACTCTTGGGAGCTGACATGTTCCTGGGTTAGCATTGTTGTATCTGACAGAACACATAAAAGGCAAACCACTTTCTCTCCAGCTCTCCGCCTGAGCCAAACACAGAAATTCTGAGCCTCTTCTAATTTTGAATCCCAGATTTTGAAGTTTACAGAATAATGGTAGCTTTCAAGCACGGAATCACTTTGTCACGTAACCCATACCACCATAGATGCACCAAATGGTGCTCTAAATAGCATTAAGAACAACAAAAAAATGCTTCATATTGTAGGCACATCAGCCTGATTAAAAATGCATATTTTTAAAGTTAATGCACATTTCATTATGAAGGAACAATCCTTGAAGGCACCTTACCCTGACCTTCCTATCAAAAATAATTTACAACTAGACCTTTTCTTCTTCTCTCTCACCCTCCTTTTTCAATAGCTTTTCCTTTTCAATGGTACTTCAGTATCATTCTGATCAGGATTGCATTTCCTCATTCACTAAGCAGCACATGATTTCCATACTGCACATTTAGGTGAGTTTGTACCACATGGAAACCATTACTGGCTTAGTCCTGAGTCTGTTCATACTTGACAGAGGCTACCAATTTTTTATTTTTTATTTTTTAATTTATCTTCTCTCTCTCTTTTTTTTTTTTTTTTTAAGCAATAAAATATCCTGAATACTGATGGGAAAATAAAATCCCTACACAGGAATACTGTTAGGACAACAACAGAGCTCTCACACAAATACTTTCTGTGTAAGCAAGCAAGGACAAGAATATATAGAATTCAATACAAGTAATGAGACAGACATAAAGCCTGCTCTAAAATCACTGTTAAAGTGAGCTGATACTATGAGTCTCTTGCTGGATGCCTGGGCTCTGCTTCTAGAAGGGAGCTTATCAAATGTTTCGTTTTATTTTTTGGACAGCAGCACAGAGTGACGGGAAAGTACATGCAAGAAGCCAATTTTGAACATCATGATAAGCACCATTCAACCACTGTAAAGGCTCTGTAGATATCACAAAAAATGAGAGTTTCAAAAGGATGGATTTTAAAAGAAAGGTGACCTCAAGGGACGTTTGCAGGCAACTTCTAACCACAGGGGAGAGTAAAACAAAAGAGGCTTGTTAGAAAGCTTGACAAATAAGCACCTAAGACACTTCGCTCATTTATAATTCAGAATAAAAAATAATACTAAGAGACAATAGATGTGGCAGAAGAGACCACAGCTATGCAGCTTGTTTTGGAAGTATCTGGACAGATCCTGCTTTAACTGTATTCAAGACGTGTTGAGAACCCATGCAGGGCAGCTAAATCAATAATCAAGCTAACAACCTTAGTGACAGAGTTCTGCACTGGTATTAACCACACAAAATTGGATTCAAGATTCATAGAGGAGATTTCTCTCCGAGTGAGGGAGAACTGGAAGTCTGGCACTTAGAAAGCTTTTTTCTTGGAGGGCGAGAGAGATCTGTTCCTAGTTTTGCTCCAGTTCAATCAAAATACCAGGGCAAAATATTATCAGCAACAACATTTAACTTTCCCATAAAATTTGATGCTTGAGAAAAAATATCCTTCCTCCCCATCAAGAGCAACATCTCAAGCTCCATCTCTTTACCCCAGACTCTTCAGGTTTCATAAAAGTTTAGGAGCCACCTATAAAATAAAGATCTGTAAAGGTCAAGACAAGTAAGGCACCAGCAGGGTACTTCATCATATAGTGGGACATGAGGAAAGACAGAGTTGAGCAAGCAGTTTAATCTGGCCCAAGTCTGCAAATAAAAAGCAGACACCTGAGCCGGCACCAGTTCAAGCTAATGCAGCCATATGGTGCACATGGTGTAGCTCAGCATGGACACAGCAGGACACAACATGGCACTTTCAGTGCCACAGCACTGGAGTGAGGTGACAACCTATGTCTCTCCACAAGCTGTACTTTACCACATCCACCACTAGCTCAGCAATTCTGTACTGCAGCCCGTTGCTCTATATTATGCACCAACAGCCAAGCACATTCAACAGTAACTGCAGACATCTGTTTCCCTTTTCCAGGCCCCCACTGCAAACATTTCTGACATCAGCACGGTCTCCATAGCACCTAGAACACTTATAGGATTTTTTTTTCTCAAGTTTTAAAGCAAACCAGAGCAGAAAACTGGACAGATTTAAATGCAACATGACATTTAATAATTTAATAAACTACTCCAAACAGCAAGGAGTAACTAAACTACGCACAAGCCCATTTTTCGTATATTACAAAAAACTTAACTCAGCCAGTGTGAGCATGTGCAGCCACCAGAAAGGATCATCTTGCACTTGTTCTCTGTTGTTTCATAATTTCTCAGCTTAGCCCTTGGACTGACAATGTGACACCTCAAGCAGCCCTGCAAAGGCAACTGCATCCAGGAACCGATCCTGCTAAAATCTACACGTAGCAGCACTGACTTGCATCGTCCTAAAACTGAGTGTGATCTCCATGCCCAAAATACTATGCTGTGTCAGGGTGCATTGCTACAGCAAACAACTTTAAAAGGCTTGTGTGAGTATTTAGAGGTACTAATAATTGCAGAAGAGGTGCTATTGCTTGCTATTCTGCAAGTTGCTAGCTTTACTATTCACATTGTACAGGATCCCTTCCTCTGTGAAAAATACTCCACATCTCAAGTTTAAGATATGACTTCAGAAGAGAATGTGCAGTTTCTGTCTCTATTTCTGTCATTTTTCTTTGATCTCACTCTTTACTGTACAAAAAGAAATATTTCCTTCCTTCTCAGGTTTATTCTATCTTCTTTGGCCACCAGCCCTGAAGAATAAAATACATTCAAAGAGAATAAAAATACTACAAATATAATTTATATGGTCTCTGCCCCCTATTGACAGTTATTATCCCTCTGTTTCCTCTAATCCTGTTAGTTCACTGTGGCAAATTCAGTACAGTCTTACAGTGAAGAAATCTGAAAGTGCACAGGAGTTTCTCTAAAAATGAGTCTTGCAAGAATCCATCTCACAAATTTCTACTTAAGCAACAAAAGAATATTTTGGAAAGGCACACAAAGTTAGTGTCTATTATCTTAAATCTCAGAAGTCAGTTACACTGGGTTCTGTACCAATGCTAGTAAATATTTGTGGATTTTACAGCAGAAACAGATCATTCAATTTTCAAAACTGAAATACTAAAGCAGAAAAAAAAACACTTCCGATTTTTTTTTTAAATAGTGTAACAGATGTTATTCCAACAAGTGAAATAAATATCAGTAAGAAACTGCTTGACCTTACTGCATAACACTTGTACTGAAGTATTTCAAACTATTCAGATTGTACACATCTGCATTTGTGACAAGTTCCAGTCTGTAGCGTGGAAGAACAGCTGACAGCACAGTAATTTTTAATACTTCTTGGGAACACCGTCAGAGCAGCCACTTATAGAAAATGGCCTTTTGATAGACATCAGTGTGGTGTATTTTTCAAACACGTATATGTATTTTTTTTTTGTTTTGTGTCATTTAAAATTCTTGACATGATGCATTGGGTGTGTACCCTTCATTACTGGGCCACTACTTACCTGCATTCCTATAATTGGAAACTAATAATGCCATAATAGGCTCACAATATCAGTGAGGTGCAAGCGGAATCAGCTTCACTATATTAGCCTCAGCAAATTAAATTCATTTGCAGAAAGGCATTCAAGGAAATAGACCACAGATGTAAAATACAGCTAAATGATTCCCCCTCCTAAAAGCACGACAAAGGAAGCTGCATCTAATGAGAAGCACATCCAGAATACTTTGTCCAAAATGAATGAGGCTTGTGACTGGTGCAAATTTCTCTAGTCTTCTGTGATAGACATTTCACAATTTTGTATATTTTTAGTCTTTGTGTAAAAAGAGGAATGATTCCTAAAATATTACCCTTCTGCACCTAATGTACTTACCACCACAACAACTACGTACGTGCCATAAGAAATGCACTGCAATCACCCAATTACATGTCTGGGAAAATTGCTTTCAATGACACGCAGGCTCTACATTGCAAGCTAGCCTCTGATCACATGAAATCTATTTAACCGCTCAATATCAAATAGACATAGTCACTGTTCAGGGACCAAAGACAAGTTCAAAATATTGTCTTAATAGACAGCTAAATTAATTTTCAATGTAAAGGAATTGTTCAGAGGTGGGAAGTCATCTAATGTGCCGGAATCTGCAACAGTAAGTCTAATGGCTAGCCAGAAAGACCTCACAGTTCAGCATTATGACTCTGTGATGACTACCAGTAAAAAATGTTGGCCAAATGTATCAAGTTTTCCCCATTATAAAACATTGCTTTTGTTGGTGATGCAGCTATGTTTTATATAGCACTCAACACTGCTAAATCAAACAGCCTAAATCAAATTCAGCAGAAACTGCACCACTGATTACAAAGAACAGCAATTAAAGATAAAATGTTTAGCCAGAAGGCAGTACAGCTCTAGAAACACTGGTTTTATCATAGAACTCACAATATTAATGCTTACGTGAATTTTAATTAAAGCATTTAATTCCTGTGCAATCCCAATCACACAAGACATTTTGCACTCTTCCTTTCACAAAAGCCCATGGTTTTCACAAACATGTAGACAGAAGGGAGGTAGCAAAACAGTAAATATACCCTCAATGTCAAGTTTGGTCGGAACGTACCAGACAGCAAAACCCTGTCGTGTTTTGCATAGGGACTCTGAAATGAATGAAGGCTTTTTGTTTTGTGATTATACACCCTCACGATGTTCTAAGAATGTCATGCTTAACTACAGGGAGTAGATCTTCAACAGATCAGCTTGCTTACGCACAAAATTGAACTGGACAAATCTTCACTAGAACTCAGCACAATCACAATCAGCACCAACCTCTTTTGAAAATCTGTCCCCAATTATTAGATGCCAAATACTCAGAAACTTGGCTCTGTGCTCTTAAAAATCTAAATCTGTAAACTCAAAACCAGTATTGCAGCCACTGAGTTGTGGGCACACCTGGCAGTATTCCTGTCAGGGGAGGAGCAAAGCAAGAGGCAGCCTGTAGCAAAGTGAATGAACCTTCTTTAAATGACAAAGCTTACTACTACTGTATTCACTGGCACTGTAGGACAGTTTAGGTTTGAGACTGTTTTATTTGCATTTTGGTTTTTCTCCTTATCAGTTTATCACTGATGTTAGCCTAGCACATTGCTAGTGACAGTAGATCTAGAGCCAGAACCGAGCTCACAACTGGCCTGAAAGAAAACCATCAATACTATCAACCATACTCCTGTAATCGAACCAGGTTGAATCTACGAGCTGAATTTAAAAGATACTAGCAGAAAGTACAGTAATATATTCATCCAACTGATAACTTATATGATGAAACACAGCCATTTGATATTTAAGTGCATTAGGATGGTATATACTACACAAGTCACTTCCTCAAATAAATTATTTTGCAAAACAAGATGAAATTATACATTTTGAAGCTTTCATAGCTTTGAAATTTCATATCAAACATAGAATACTAAGGCTGAGGTCCGTGCAACTCTTGGTCCCAAAGGCACAGATAAAAGTTGCTTTGTTACTGGAGTTTCTTTTCTAGTTTCCATTCCACACTCAGGATATTTGAACATAGTAGGACAGTAGTAGCTCCCACCTTTGTGTTCAAATGAAGAACTGAATTGAGAGTTTTGGCCAATTCATACAGCTACTATTTTAAAGTATTCCCATTAGTTCTGTGAACCACCGTACAGCAAAAGTAGAAGCACTGGACTTATTTGCTTGCTATGATCAGAACTATTAGAAGCCTCCAACCAACTGTGAAAGAAACTCTTGCCTTTACAAGGCATGCTTAACATCTAATGCGTTAGCGTTTCACTTTCTACTGCAAGCATCTGCCCTCAAAATTTAAACATGCTATTTTCTTATCATAATCCTTTTTTTCCCTTCAGTTAAAATACAGACTTTTAAAGAGAGAATGTTAATTCTAGCCTATCTAAACATAGGTGATTCTTATAAGACAACAAAAACATCACTGACTTAATGTAAAACCTTTCTAATACCCTAGCGTATAATTAAGTAATTCATTAGCAAGTAACTTCAAGTGGGTGTAATTTAATGTTTCCTTCCTGCACCCTGAGCAAACACAACACAGAATACTTAATCCATTTGAACCCAACCCCCTAAAATCCACTGACTTAGCAAAATCTCATACAGAGACTTACATGGAAGAACTCCAACCCACCCCCACCCTCCAAGAATCATAAAGGCTTACTTCACTTGTAGGTTCACCCCAGAGAAGAGAAGGAATGGTAGATTACGCTTTGTTGATTTTTCAGCCAATTCTGCAGCACGAAATCCCCCCATAAGACTCAGTTATCTCCTGACCAACCTCCTGGTCAGGGGGGCGGGCTGCTCGTTCATAGGCCGTGCTGCAGACAGGCACACCTGGCCCACTTCTGCCCTCACCGTTCCACCTTGAGGAAAAGCAGCAAGCAGGTGGCACTGATCTCAGCAATGTAGAGGGCAGGGAGCTGCACGTGGGAAAAAACAAGGCCATAGCGTGTTACAGAACTGCTCACTCGAAACAGCATTTAGTTATTTAATAAAGGTACAAAAACATATTGCTAATTATTTAGTAAACCTACTGCCATTTTTTTTTTTTTTTTCTGTAAGACTAGCTTGACAAAGTCAGGAAAGAGATGAGAAAATGAAGTTTCGGTTCCCACTTAAAGGCTCGCCTCTCCTGAGGAGAAGACAGCCGTTATCCCGCAGGCTCTGAGGAAGCTGCCGCGGAGGTGCGACAGTGAAGATCCCGCTTTCCCGCCACTCGTGCTCTGATTGGCTGCTCAGGGCCGGCGGGAGCGCAGCGAGGAGCGGCTGCGCTGAGGAGAGCACGAGATGGCGGCGGGAGCGACGTGAGGCGGCACGTTTCCTCTTTCTGTGAGGTGAGTTTGTTGTTGCTACACTGTTTCTTCCTGGGAAAGGCGTTTTAGCTTTGCGAGGTGTTCTAGGGAGAGCGGTTAGGCTTGTCCTGGTGGCGCGAGTGAGATACTGCAGGCCCCCGCCCATCTCCTCAGAAGGGCAACTGTGAGTTCTGGGCCTGCTTGTGTCTGCCTGCCTTTGGCGAAGAGCTCAACATTGCTTTGTGTGTTGAGCTGAAGTGTGAGCCGCTCTTTTTAATGTTGTATTTGTTTGGAGGCATTATTCAATATTGGCTTCTAAAGTAAAATATCAGTGCTTTCTGGAGTAATACTTTATTTCACCTCGTGTTTATCTTTCCAATACTATGTAGCCTCTTAGGATCTCTTTGGTTTTGAAACTTGGAAAAAAGTGCATCGGTGTTGGTGTTCTAACTGACTGATTAATAAATCCTGTCCCTGTGAAGGTGGAGCTGAGCAGGCAGGCTGTTAGTGCTCTCTTCTTGGTTTCCCAGTGTACAAATAACAGGTATGGAGTGGGTGCATGTGAGCCTGGCAGAACCCCACTGTGTGATGGGAGCACTGCCTGGGAGAGGCAGGAGCCCCTCCTGGGTACAGGTGAGCTGCTGCTACTGTTTGACCCTCTGGTATTTTCCCTACACGTGCCTCGTGGTCCTCCTACAGCGGTGTTCTTATGCTCTCGCTTTTGATTCACACTAATGCTGCTTTCCTGCAGAACTGGAATGCCATGAGAAGTTTTGGGGGAAGAAAAACAAAGAAAAAGAAACTTGAGGTGGGGTGAAAAATGGGAATGAAATGAAAGTGTATTTTAACTTTGGGTATATCTATAGATAGAAAGTGAGAGCTGCTGTTGTTGTTTGGGTGTGGTTTTGGAGGGGGGGGTGGGAAGAAGTCGATAATGGCCTAATTATTGACCAGCTTGTTTCCACTCTGTGAAAGAGGCCTCCCATTGATATTCTAGTTTTCAGAGTATGTTTTTATTAAAACTTGTGTTACCTGCTTCTTTAAAGTGATTTTAGTTGTAGGTTTATGTAGTCCTTCCTACTGGTGATGACTTCTGCAATGTTTTTTTTCCTCTGACCTTTCAACACATTCATTAGCCTTATCAGTTGCATTGGCTTATTTTTGTCATTCAGATGTTGATTTTTATGCTCGTTAGTAGTTTGTTTGAATCTGTTTTCTGTGCCTAAAAATCTGGGATGGGTAACTTGGTAATTATTTTGGCTTTCTGCATTAATGTGTGATCTATAATGTTTTGGAGCCATCACGTACTGTTATTTAATTAGGTTGCCTAGCCTGCATATTAAAAAAATCTTTCTGCATCTTGGAAAGTAATTTAATTTTCTGAATACCAAAAAGATAATCTTACTCTGTAATAAATTTGATGGGATTTTGAATATTGTATCTGTCTGTGGCATAGCTGTTGCTCTCCTGCAATAGTGGTTAAAATCTCAGCAAAACTTGAAGATTTTGGTAAGAACTGTCTTAAACAGTGGACTGTTCTGTAAGCGTATGGCTTAAATGCCCTTAATATTAAGCAGTACAAACGTGTTTAATGAAAATAGCATGTACCAAAGCTATATCTGCAGTAATGCAGTTTGAAATTCATAAACGCCTTCACAGGGTTCAAAAGAAAGATGTGTTTTTTCCTCTTGTTATCAATAATTGGCAGTGATAATGGGCTGGAAAAGTACTTAGTAAAAAGTGAAGGTCTAATCAGTAGAAATAATTGTTTTTATTTTTTTAGATGCCCGTTCTTGGTACCACCATGCATCTCTATTTTCTTGAACTGTCACTTCTTATGAAAATAAATATAAAGTTTATTAGCACTTGATACCTTCATAAGACCTCAGGATGCCTCCATTTATATTGCAAAACTTTAAAATTCCCAAACTTGTTCTCCCCACAACTGCTATTCCCCACACATTTAAATTGCTCTATTTCCAAGGATGTTTATGGGCAGGTACTCGTAAGTGAGCCTCAAGATGCAAGTTTATGTGTACCTGGAATTTACTGAGAGCTGGCCTATGGCTGTGAGAAACACTAGGTTTGTTCAAACTGTTTTCTTCTTAGTAGAGAGATTTCAAATCTGGCTTCTTCACGCTTAGTGTTTGGCATGGTTATTTCTAGTGAATAATGAGCTATCTCTTTGCAAATTAATTCTAGATAAATTTATCTATTCAGTGCTTGTGTTGACTGAGCATTTCAGCACTTGCTTTTCAAATCACTTATATTTTTGAACTATTTGCTGCTGTTTCTCAGGTAGCGCTTGACCATTTAATCACTCCTTTGTCTCTTTGCTTCTGTGCTGCTGCTGAACTGCCAAGCTTGGGGCCATATACACTGCCTGTAGTTCAGCACATCATCCACAATTCTGCAGAACTGTTGAAATCACATGATTCCTCTCACTTCACTTACATGTTTGGCAGTAGTTCCTTTATGGGTATAGCTGTTTTTCCTCCCTACTACTGAATGTTCTAGCTCTGGCAGTGTCAGTTCCTTCACCAGCCATCTGTCTCCCTGGCTCAGCTCCCTTTCTCAGAGTAGATGCGAGTCCTACTGAGTACAGCATCAGCTGTTAATTCTTTATTCAAAAGGTTTTAAAACAGCAGCTGCTGCATACATCCTGTATTTCAATTTTCTTTTCAGTGATTATTGCTTTATGGTTGCTTTCTTCAGCCTCCACCCTGCTCCAGGTTATTTGCAGCTTGCTTATCTATCGCATCAATTCTCTTCCTGAAGTCTTACGTTAATTTTCTTCACTCTGACAACGTAGATTGACTCTGAGTTCTGTCTGCAGCGTGCATGTCAGAATGGAAATATGGTCTGGGCTACTTCTGATTGTTGTTTTCCAGTAAGCGCATTCTTTTAAAATGCTGAAAACAGCATCTAAGTACTGTCAGATGCCAGGTTATAGCTCCTGAAAACAAAGGGTAATGTCATAGTTACTGCCAAGAATTAAGAGAACAATTTTTCTGCAGCAGTGTCTGTTATATATAAGACAGGTTGTCTTGTAGCTCAGAGACTGACATATTGCTAAGCAATCTAGCAGGCTGCTGTTGTTTAATAAAAAGTGTTACTTGCTTATAAGCTCTTCAGGTTTGGATACAAACCTTCCTTATGAAACCCCAAGTATGTAGTGTTCTTACTACAGTAGCTGTTACTTTATGTATACTGTACCTATTCCATAACCTGCCAAGAGCTAAAGTTTATCCAGGTGGTGTCTAGAGCATTATATGCCATTATTTGGCATTAGTGCAGTTTTCAAGGGTAGAAATGAACTGCACAGTAATTTCAGTGAAGATAGACTTATCAGATTTCATTAATGCATGTTGATAAGCCTTTCTTAGACTCTCCATTCCTTTCCTGGATAAATTCAAATATTGTTTATTGCTAATGCCAGTTAGTCAGCCAAGCATCTGTAGCTGGCAGCTGTCCTCCTGAAGAAGGCCTCAGGAGATTAAAACTCCTGAGAAGCTGATTTGCATATTAGATGTTCCTGTTTGTCATTTTCTAAGGGTCTTTTGAACATTTTGGTTGTTCCTCTGATGATAAATAAAAACTGTGTGCTTACAAGAGTAACTAATAATTACTAAGCTGGATTTTATTTCTCCCTGTACTCATGATCTCTAGGGTAAACTTAAATCTGTCATGTAACACCTCTGCTGAGGGGCTATCTATATAAGGGAAGTTTGCTTCCAAACTAAACTGTTGTAGCTAAACCAGCTCTTATACTATTGTGGTGTTAAACTAACACAGGTGTGTTCACAACAGATTAGTCAGTTCTGGATCAGGGAACTGAAGCTGTTGTACATTATTGCTAATGGGACTTGTGCTGGTTGAATAATTCCAGTAATATAGAAAAGCTGGTGGCCTCACAAAAACCTGTGCAGCTTTGTCTTTCTGGCATTGCCAGGTTGGTCTTGTGCTGTCTTGGAGAAAGTGACAAATAATAAAAGAGGACAACAGCATGGAAAACAGGGTGTAAATTAATTTCTTGTCTGTCATCTTTCAGGCAAGTTAACTTCCTGCCCCCAGGGTATGACTTCCAAATTGGAGGTGGCACAGCTCTTCAGTCTGTAAAAGCAGGCTTCAGAGTGCCATTATAAGAGGATCTCAAGTGTGGCCATGACAGTGTGCTCAAGTATGACTATGAGGCAGAGGAAGTTAGCATGCCCAGTAGATTGTGCTTGTGAGTTGGTAGCAAATAAACTTTGTCTCGCAAGTGAAACTGCAGCTACCACATTCTAAAAAGAGCAAGTAGTCAAAGTGAAGAAAGCTGCAGACAGAAGCTGGTGAACTGTAGGTTATTTTTCTTACTGTTCTCTGTTCTTACTGTTCTCTAGCCTAGGTTCAAACTGAGCATTGTCTTATTAGAATTAAGGTATATTGTTAAATGAAGACCATGCCTATGTCCATCTGCTGAGCTAAAAATTAGTTAACTTGGTACAGAACAACACAGTATTCAACAAAACACGAGTGGAGAGGTATTTTAAGATCAGACAAAATCAACTTGCATGCTAGACTATGGAGATGTTAACTGCTACTTAGTACTGCATAAATTAAAAGGAGTCTTGGTTAATAATATCCTTTGGAGGAAAAAAATAAATGGGCCTGATAAGAATTCAAATTTTGGGCTTTTAGTAATCTCTTACCAAAAAAAATGCCTGCCAACAAACCAGTCAATTTGAATCAATATAGGTAAATTAATAAAAACACGAAGAAGTAAGAACTTCTTGGCTTAGATTGATTAAAATATTTTCGTCATGGAAAATCCAGGAGCTCTGGCTTTGGAGTGTTTTTTAATCTAAGTTTTATTAGAATACAATATAAAAACTATCCAATAAATTACTTCTAGTTGCCAACACACAAAGTGCTCTTTTGCAATGTCCTAAAATAATAGGCTCTACAGAATGATGTTTCTATTAATCTTTTTCACACTCAAGCAAGGCAGGCTGTTCCAGTTACTTAAAATGGGTTCAATAGGAAGTTAGGTCAGGTAACTT